GATCAGAATGGAGCAGCTACGTACTTTGATAGCTACGGAATGCCGCCCTGGGACTCACGATTTCTCCTGCATCTTAGAAGAAATTCCGCCACTTATCGATGGAATATCTCTCAGTTACAAGGTCTCTTATCGACTACTTGTGGCCATTATTGTTGTGTTTTTCTTTACTTTATGTGCAGAGGTTATAACCTCAATGCCTTTAAAAATTTGTTTACCAATGATTGCGAATGAAACGATCAACTAATTGTACGAATGTATAAGAAAATCTTTTGTCAATGTAATCGTAAATCATTAGATCATCATCATATCCCTATATACCAGGTTCAATCCTGTATTAGAAAAATGTATAAGAATAAAATGTGAATTTATTCTATAAAAATTTTGTATATTCCTTTCTTTTCGCCTCTTCTCTCTTCCCTGTGATCTCCAATTTGCGGTAATAAGACCTGTTGTAAACTTTTCGAGTTCGAAAGCGAAGGGACACACACACACAGATAAAAATATTGAGATAGACATAGAGCGGAGGTATCGTCTTCTAACAATCGCTGAGTAGTTTTAATCTTCGAAATTATCCTTAGCTGCTCGAACATGTGCACGCACGCTCGCACACCTCAAGAGCTGGGGCTTCAGAGCCACGAGTCCGTAGGGCTTAAAATTTTCGAAAATTTTCACGCGTGACGTCAATACTCCACGTATGTATACAATATATCTAGTTTTCATCAGAATATAGCAATAGCGTAGCGTATAAGACGCTTGACTCAAAAGCCAACGGACTCTTCGAATCCGAGGAGGACCTCTACAGGATTTTTTCAGAGAACACACATGTGGGGATGACCACGCACATACACACACACACACACACACACACACACGCACATCTCAGCCCGTTATACGACTACGTCGTAAAGACTGTTTCTACCAGAGAGCAGCAGTAGTACGGTGGTAAGACGATTTGACTCGAGAGCCAGAGGTCCCCGGTTCGAATCCAACAGAGAGGGCTTTACAGGGTTTTTCGAAACTTGTGACGTCGATACTTTCCATATGTAGACGATATAGCTAGTTTCCATTAAGGTATAGCGGTAGCGCGGTGGTAAGACGGTTTGACTCGAGAGCCAGAGGTCTCGGTTCGAATCCCCAGAGAGGCAGGGTCTACAGAGTTTTTTCGAAACTTGTGACGTCGATACTTTCCGTATGTAGGCTAATATAACTAGTTTCCATCAGGGTATAGTAGTAGCGTAGTGCTAAGGCGCGTGACTCACAAGAGCCAGAGGTTTCCAGGTTCGAATCCAGCAGAGCTCCACAGAGTTTTTCCGCAAATGCAATATGCAAATTAAGTAGTTGAGCAAGAGCCAGAATTTGCCAACTCCTCTAATAATGTCGGCCATAATTTGCTTATTTCAAAAGTCGATTAGTTTTTGCCTGTGGGGAAGTATGGCCCGTCAAAACATTCTCCCTCCACTCGACCCGCCGGCGCCGGTGGGTGTGGTTTAACGGCGCCGGAGGGTCGAGTGGAGGGGGAATGTTTTGACGGGCCATACCTTCCCACATACTACTCAAATTGAAGCAATTTTGAATGCTCGACCATTATGTCCATTATCAGACGACGTAGAAGATTTTTCCGCATTCACTCCGGGACATTTCCTTATAGGAGAAGCACTCACTACCATCCCAGAGCCAAATCTGTCGGCATTACCTATTTTCCGCCTTTCTCGATGGCAACTATTGCCACAAAAGGTGGAATATTTTTGGTCTCGATGGTATTCTGAGTGTTTGCAACGCTCTCAAGCTGTTTCTAAATGGCATCACTCTACTAACCAGATTAAAGAAGGATCTTTAGTTTTAATTACAGATGAAAGATATCCTCCTGCAAAGTGGCCATTGGCGCGAGTTACTAAATTACATCCTGGTCAAGATGGACTAACTAGAGTGGTCACCGTTCGCACAATAACCTCGATTTTTAAACGGCCAATTGTGAAATTAATCATTCTTCCTGCAGGAAACTACGTAGAACATAATTCGGAAACTTCGTTCCCGAAGGCGGGCGTAAATGTTGAGAAATAAGAAGCGGCAGCAGAGGTGGCCATGATCCTGCGCGTAAAAAAAAAGGGAGGCTGGTTCAAGACGGTTGCGAGGGGCAACTCTCAATATAACATTCTCTCTTTTATTCATTCTACTCTCTGCTATTACTTGAGTCAGTCGTAATTTTCATCTCTCTTACGTGCTATAATTGTGTTTATCTCAGTTTTGTTCTAATACAGTGGTGAAAGTTTTAGGACATTGTGACTTGTGCGCCGGGCATTGCGTTTCTTGTGCCGGGACATTGCGCCTTGTGTATTGGGCATTGCGCATCTTGCGTTGGGACATTGCGTCTTATGCGCCGAGCTTGCGCCTAGTGCGCCGGGATATTGTGCTTCGTGCGCCGGGCATTGCGCTTCTTGCGCCGGGACATTGCACCTTGTGTGTCGGGCATTGCGCTTCTTGCGCCAGGTTTTTGATTACAGTTTCGCCGTCCTCTGTCGCCACCTCTGTCAGCGCTCCTGATCAGCGGCTGTTCGCCGCCTCCCTTCCTGAAGTCCAGATCTTTAATGGCTCCCGCCACCTTCTTCACGACTCCCAGATTTACAACGTCTCCTGTCATCACCTCCACCGGCGCTACTGATCTACGGCATTTCTCCATTTCCTTCCCTGACGTCCAAACCTGCATCGTTTTTTGCCACCTCTACTGTCAACGCTCCTGAACTTCGGCTATTGCCCCTCTCGAAAACGCTGTTGAATTGAGATTATCGATTGCCTCCTCTCCCGCTGGCCGAATCTATTACGACTCTCATCACTACCAATTACAACGCTCCCTTCAAAGTTTACGTGAATATACCTATTTCAATTATAATAATTTTACTATATATATAGAAAATACAGTCCACATAACAATTGTCATATTTCTACTATATAAGTGGTCGATAAATACGTAACAATAAGTACTTACTTTGTTTTACTGGCTCTGATGCTGGAGCTGCTGGTAGTTGGGATTGTGGTGGTGGTGATGGTACAGGTGAAGATGGAGGTGGAGGTGGTGGTGGCGGTGGCAGAGATGGCGGTGGCGGTGGTGGTTCCTTAATTTTGTCTTTTAACATTTTAATTTTATAATTCTCTTTTTAATTTTATAATTTCTGCTGCTGCCTCCACTTGATCCAGTACTTCAAGTAAATCTTGTTCCTGAAAAATTTAAGGACGATTATTTATAGATAATCAATTCATAAATATGTTCACTATAAACTGATCTAGACTGTCATAATTCTACTATATAAACACCTATGGTACAGATATAACTTGCTGATAATGGATAGGATAGTAGGAATAATAGGGACAATAGGAATGGGTGGAACCTTATAGAAGAGTTCCCTTCCTCTAATTCGCTTTTTCATCCTTACTATTCTTACATAGAAAAAGGGGAGATCTTCTCAGCAAGCTATGTCTCGAGCCTAGATCGACTTCATTACGAAAGTTTCCATTGAACAGCAATTTAATTTCACTGTATAACCTTTGTCTATCCCCCATCCTCTTATCATCAATAGCGAAACTCTCTCATGCTCTGTAAGAGAAGCCATTTGGAATTGAAAACAAAAAATTTGCAAAAATTTGATATAAAAAATTCGGTTTCTTTACCTTTAAATAAAAATAATAAGTAATGTACCATTGATCGTTAATAATAATATGATAATAATTCAAAATGGACTAGAATGACATCAAAACTTGTTAAATCGATTAAAACTTAAAAACAATCTATTATCTATTTGACACTGATAGAATCGAGACAAACAAAAACCTTGAAGCATACACTTTATCGATGGCGAATACATTTTTCGGATACCGATCCTGGGATTTTTGAGCTCGCTAAAACCGAATCCGACGTCGGATTTTGCAAATTCAAGATGGCCGATTCAAGATAGCGGCCGATATTTAAAAATTACAAAAATTGGATCTCGTTTAAGGAGTTTTTGAAGTTGTTTCTGAAATCGAATCCGACATTGGATTTTACAAATTCAAGATGACCGATCCAAAATAGCGCCCGATATTGAGGAATTACCAACAATCGGAGTGTGACCTCGTACGTAACGTAAAATCTCACTCTTCACATTATGGGAGGGGGTAAAAGTATGTGTTTCCAGCCTAAAAAAAAATTTTTCAATCTTGACACTTTTAGGTCAAAAGTATGGATTTTCAGTCCCAAAAAAGTCCGGTTTGACCTTAATAATAATCTTAACTTATGACCTTGAGAATAAGAGCAAGGTCACGGCTGAATGTCCCTCGTTGACCTCTACATTCTTATTCTTATGCGTAACATTGCTCCCTAGCAGGTGCATTTTCGGAGATATTCGCGTTTTCAGCCTAAAACAAACTTAGACCTTTATGTGACCTTCAGAGGTTAAATTTGGCAGTGTTGAAGGTCATATCCAAGCGTAAAATTTTCCGCTCTTTTCATTTCTGGGGTCAAAAGTATGGGGTCCCATTTAAAAAAAATTGACCTGACCTTGAAATGACCTTCAAGGTCATTGTCAAAGTCAAATCCAAGGTCAGATAGCCAGGAAAAAATCATAAAAACCTAGTACTTCGCATTCTTTCTAGGACTCATATTTTTCGAGTTACTTTGCTCTTCCGGGACTTTTATAACACCCTGTATGTCATTATATTATATTATTACAATATATTATATCGTATATCGTTTCGTATTCGTAATATATATATATATATATGGCTGGCATTACTACCTGTAGCGCCATCTAACGGAGAAACGTATGCAACTGGACATTTTTTAGACGATGTTTCTTTCGTGATGAAAATTTAGCGATTCTGACTTTATATGAAAAATTCTCGACTTACAGTGCACATAGGAAAAAAATAAAGACAGTTTTATTATGTAAACCGACCCTAAGGAATCGATTGAGCTTACTCAGAACTTGATCAGATTAGCCATTTGAGCGGTACGATAATCTTGCCTCGGATCAACTAAGTGCTTCGCGTAAAGAGACCGGTCGGTCTCGCAACCCGTGTGCGTCACTTTGCTCTTGCGTGTACTTGGCACAAGACACTACCGTGTCTCTTGACTTTGCATTGACACATTTGGGACTAAGTTCCAAATTCGTATTTTCATCATTACACCAGGGAGTATTATCATTGCAACGTCGATCTACCGGGTGATCATATTGGCATATTTTATATAGACAGCAGTTCTAAAGGTCTTGATTCACAATTACTAAATATAGTATTCGAGGGCAAGAGTTTCTTTTTTCTCCGAGGAAACCAGTAAACTTATATATACTACTGTGATAAAAAAATAAGGTGAATTTGTTTATAAAATGAAAAATCTTTATTTATTCTTCCAAATCAATTTCATCGCCTTCAAAGTACTCTCCGTCCGACACGATGCACTTATGCCAACGTTTTTTCCAATCCTCGAAACAGTCAGAGCAGTCTTTTTCCGGGATGGCCTTCAATACTTTTTTCGATTCGGTTTTTATCTCCTCAATCGAGTCGAAACGGTGTCCCCGGAGCGGTCTTTTGAGTTTGTTGAACAGCCAGAAGTCGCACGATGCTAAATCAGGCGAATACGGTGGTTGTGGAACGATATGGGTCGAATTTTTGGCGAAATGTTTTCGAAGAACCAATGCAGTGTGGGTGCATTATCGTGGTACAAAAACCAAGAATTGTCTGCTCATAATTCTAGGCTTTTGAGGCGAATAGCTTCACGCAAACACTCAACGACGCATAACACTCAAATAATATTCCTTGTTAACAGTTTGGCCTGGCGGAAGAAATTCATAATGCACAACACCGCGATAATCGAAGAAAACTGTCAACATGACCTTGATTTTTTAGTGACTTTGGCGCGGTTTTTTCGGTCTTGATTCACTTTTTGCACGACATTCGCTCGACTGGTCGGTTGTTTCCGAGTCGTATGCATAGATCCAAGTCTCATCTCCCGTAATGATGCGTTTCATGACGTCCTGGTAGTCAGAAATCATTGTTTCACAGATGTCAACGCGACGCTTTTTTTCCAAAAAATTGAGTGTTTTTGGAACCAATCGAGATTTGACGCGTTTGAGGCACAAAACATCTTTTTAAATGGTTTGGGTTGATCCAAATTATATACCCGTAGCATCAGCAAGGTCTCTAATTGTCAATCGACGATTTTCGAACAGCAAATCTTTGATTTCCTTGATGTGGCTTTCATCGGTAGATGTTAATGGTCGTCCGAGGCGCTGTTCGTCTTGAACTCGTTCTCGGCCTTCTTTGAAGTCTTTGTACCACTTGTAAACATTTTTTTGCGACTTATATATAGCCTTATCTCCAAAGGCCTTCTGCAACATCCTCAACGTTTCCGAGGCAGAATATTCATTTCGTAAACAAAATTTAATGCAAATTCTTTGCTCAACAAAATCAGACATAGTAAAAATCGAAAAACTCACTCTTGTATGTTTACAAAAACATATATAGCTCTGCAGCAATTGAATATATTGACATGAAACTCTGCATAGATGTCAAAGACAGTGCTACCAACCCATCAAAAAATAACTTCATGATTTTAAAGTACCCGCGAAGTTTAAATGAAAAATTCACTTTATTTTTTGGTCACAGTAGTATACATGAGGTGGTTTCTGGTTCAAATTCGGACGCTTCCATTATACACCACTATGTTGCGGTGAAATTATGTCGATCAGCCAAATGATATTAAGGTTCATCTACATTAACTGTAAGAGGAAGGCTATAAGGTTGCAAGACACGAAATGAAATATTTTCATTCGCTGACAGCTTACGTTACAGCCTTATAGCCTTACTCTTACAGCTATTGTAAACGAGCCTTTAAAAAACCACTTTCTTGTTCCTTATACATTATACTGTCTGTTTACAGCACCATCATTACAGGGATTATGTCGCGAAATAATTTTTTAGTACATGAAGGGGAAGGACAGAAAGTTGACGGCGGCATGTATAAAGAAGTTGGGATTATCAAAGATTCTGACTTAAAAATTGGCGATTCACGAACAAATAAACTTTTTCGAACATTACGAACTAATAAATGAGGATTGCAATCCATAATATAAGTACATGATATAAGTACTTATTTTATTAGAAATAAACACATTTCTTAAAATTATTTATAAACCTTTTTAAATTACGCTTTTTTAAGACTCTTAAGCTACGAACAACTTTTACAGACTCTTTTTATTAATGAAGTACGTTTATAGTACGATCCTTTATATGTACGAAGATAATCCAAGAGATACCTGACCTAACAAAGAAAACACAAAAAATTTGCGAAAAAATATCTTTATTTCTCTACATAGTCTCCTTTTAGCTCAATACACTTTTCCATCGATGTTCAATAGCTTCGATACCCTGTTTATAGTGGGAATCGTCGAGCTCCTCAGCCATCAAGTCACCTTGATCCATTGTTTTGATTGTTCCCTCGTCTCAGGTATAAAATGATGGACCCATGTTTCATCCATGGTTATGAATCGACGCAAAAATTCGGCTTTATTGCTGCGAAACTTCGCCAAACACTCGATTGAAACATCCTCACGACGCTGTTTTTGTTCCAATCGCGGCACCCATCTTGCGCACAGCTTTCTCATGTCCAAATTTTCAGTCAATATGCGATGTACAGCACTTTTTGAAATGCCTACCATGTCTGCTAATTCGCGCACTTTCAGTCGACGGTCATCCAATATCATTTTATGGATTTTCTTCACCATTTCTGGCGTGGTCACCTCATTTGGTTGACCACTGCGATGTTCGTCTTGGCAGCTCATACGGCCTCGTTTAAACTCTGCCACCCAATATTTTACTGTTGCAAACGAAGAAGCAGACTCCCCCAGAGTAGAATCTAGCTCCGCTTTAATATTAGTTGGACTAAGGCCTTTCAAATGAAAGTATTGTATCACATAACGATGACCAATTTTTTCCATGTTTACAAATTCACTGAGAGCGTTCACTATTGATGGCTGCCAAACAAATACTAAACAACGTAGCGTCGTCAAACTTCAAACTTAAGCTTTATAAAGTTGGTACTTTCTATCATAGTCATTCTTTTCAAACAACAACCGCCATCTATACGTCAGGTCGGATACTTCTGGGACTATCCTCGTATATCCCCCTTAACCCTTTGCGACATAGTGATGGATATATGCAACACCTTTTAAAACTTTGAAGATTCATTTTTTTATTTAAAAGTTTTTCATGAAAATTTGCATTTAAGAGGTCGCTGATTATGAATCTGTTGACGGAATTTCGAAATGCATAATGGCGGATCTATTATGGCGGACCAAATTTAAAAAATTTTTGATTTCCCTGAAAATTGGTATATACAAGTTTTTGGGGTTACTGATAATGAATCCGCTGTCAGAATTTCGAAATTCAAGTTGGCAGATTCAATATGGCGGATCAAAAATTTAAAAACTTTTGATTTTCATGAAAATTGGTATATAGAAATTTTCAGGATCGCTGTTATGAATCCGCTGTCAGAATTGGCGCAGTTTTGCCAACCTATGAAATCCGATAAATCACAGTATCCAATGCTGGAAATTTAAAAAAATCTAGAAAAATATCTATTTTTATTCATAAAAATTTTTATTTTTGTCTTATTTTTATTTTGTTTCCGTTTCTCCGTTTGTTGTTTTTTAGTTTCTGTTATCTTTTTGCTATTTGTTTTGCTATTTGTTTTGCTTTTTATCGTTGTTCTTTTTGCTTCTTTTATATTTTTTTTTATTTTAATACTTTCATAATTTTATGTTTTCTCTTATTTCATTTTTTGGACTTTTTGTTTTTGTTTTGAGCAGCCACAAAGCTTTTCCCTCTTGTGCACAGACGACTTGTGCACAGTGAATCCGTAATCAGCGACCACAAAAACCCCTTTTTTTCGGTCACGCAGGGGAAATCCTCATGGATATCCCCGCTCCTTAGAGAAGGCGGGGGTTATGTCGGACTTCTACTGACTAAAACCCCTGCGGGGTGCCTATCGCTCGGACCGTGATGGGGGAGTCAGGGGAACTACGCCTGCATTCCCTCCCCGAACCCCCCCCCCCAAAACCCCTATGTACGTATTTTCATGGAAATCGAAAATCTTTTAAAATTTGGTCCACCATATTGATTCGCCATTTGAATCGATATTCGAACAAGTTCTAATCTGAAAAAACTTATGTAGAATTCATGAAAAAAAAATTTAAAATTGACCCTCATATTGGATCCGCCATCTTGAATTTCGAAATTCTGACAGCGGATTCATAATCAGCGACACCAAAAACTATTATATGCAAATTTTCATGAAAAATTGTTGAATAGAGAAATGTATGCTTCAAAGGGTTAAATTTTTAACCTTATCTAATAATTTATTAATTTTATATAACGCGCCGTGCTAAAAATAAAGATTAATGTAATAATGCGTTGCTCTATTTCTTTCCCCAAATTCCTGCAAAACATATACAAGAATTATAATTCTTGAATATGTTTTTGAAGGTTAATAAAATGATAATTATCATTTTATTAACCTTCTTTATTAATATCCCTTTTTTAATAACCCTTCTTTATCAATGATTAAATACAGGATGACTATTTTTAATCTTAACACGCAAATATTTCGAAAATATGCAATTGTACGAAAAACTATTTAAACAAAACTTGTATAATATTGAGGGGGACGTACAATAGTGACCTTGGTTTGACCTTAGGACATCTACTTAAGGTCAGAGGATGGTCAACCTAATTTTCTCTAATGGAACCCCCTATTTTTCATATCATATTCTTATAGTTGATTTCAAGACCTTTCCAAAACACTATGATAAAATAATTTTTTATTGAATACTTTCCGAGTTCTGAACTAGAGATGAGCTAGAGATTCAAGACGCTGCCACATACGAGGATAGTCCCAGAAGTATCCGACCTGACGTATAGATGGCAGTTGTTGTTTGAAAAGAATGACTATGATAGAAAGTACCAACTTTATAAAGCTTAAGTTTGAAGTTTGACAACGCTACGTTGTTTAGTATTTGTTTGGCAGCCATCAATAGTGAACGCTCTCAGTGAATTTATAAACATGGAAAAAATTGGTCATCGTTATGTGATGCAATACTTTCATTTGAAAGGCCTTAGTCCAACCAATATTAAAGCGGAGCTAGATTCTACTCTGGGAGAGTCTGTTCCTTCGTTTACAACAGTAAAATATTGGGTGGCAGAGTTTAAGTGAGGCCGTACGAGCTGCCAAGACGAACATCGCAGTGGTCAACCAAATGAGGTGACCACGCCAGAAATGATGGAGAAAATCAAAATGGTATTGGATGACCGTCGACTGAAAGTGCGCGAGTTAGCAGACATGGTAGGCATTTCAAAAAGTACTGTACATCGCATATTGACTGAAAATTTGGACATGAGAAAGCTGTGCGCAAGATGGGTGCCGCGATTGGAATAAAAACAGCGTCGTGAGAATATTTCAATCGAGTGTTTGGCGAAGTTTCACAGCAATAAAACCGAGATTTTGCGTCGATTCATAACCATGGATGAAACATGGGTCCATCACTTCACACCTGAGACGAAGGAACAGTCAAAACAATGGACTAAAAGGGGAGAATCGGTTCCAAAAAAGCGAAGACAGTTCTATCTGCAGGCAAGGTTATGGCATCAGTTTCTTGGGATGCGCGTGGAATAATTTTCACTGATTATCTTCAGAAAGGAAAACCAATCAACGGCGAGTATTATGCGAACTTATTGCAGCGTTTGAGTGATGAAATCAAGAAAAAACGGCCGCATTTGGCGAAAAAAATGTTGTGTTTCATCAAGACAATGCACCAGTTCATACATCCGTTATCGCAATGGCCAAAATCAATGAGTTAAAGTTCAAATTGCTTCGTCACGCACCCTGCTCGCCAGATTTAGCCCCCTCGGATTATTTTCTGTTTCCAAACTTGAAAAAATGGCTCGGTGGTAAAAGATTTACCAACAATGAAGAGGTGGAGTCTGCGGTTGAGGGCTATTTTGAGGAGCTCGACGATTCCCACTATAAACAGGGTATCGAAGCTATTGAACATCGCTGGAAAAAGTATATTGAACTAAAAGGAGACTATGTAGAGAAATAAAGATATTTTTTCCCACATTTTTTGTGTTTTCTTTTTAGGTCAGGTACTTCTGGAACTACCCTCGTAGCTATCACTATAGAAGGGATGTCGTGGAGATGTCTTCTGTCCCAACAAAAGGCATCTCTGCGTGGAAGGAGAAAACTATTGAGAAGCGACGAGCGACAGACAATTGAGAGACGGACTAGCTACGAGGTGATATCAGGTGTAGTAAAAAGAAATCCATTATTTTTGCATGAAATTGA